GCAGAGAAAGAGAAAGGAAAAGAGAAAAGGGGAAAAAATAGGATATATAGGGATATGTGTGAATGGATAATCATATGTGTGGGTATGTGTGTGTGTGTGTGTGTGTGTGTGTGTGTGTGTGTGTGTGTGTGTGTGTGTGTGTGTGTGTGTGTGTGTGTGTGTGTGTGTGTGTGTGTGTGTGCGTGACAGAGAGAAAGAGAGAGAGAGAGAGAGAAAGAAAAAAAGAAAGAAAGAGAGAAAGAAAGAAAGAGAGAAAAAGAATCTCTGAATATCCGTGTATGTATGTGTGTGTATGTATATGTGTCAGTGTGTACGTATGCGCGCACACAGTACATAAGTATATCTACACACGTTAGTTCATAGGTGTGCATGTACCCGCCCAAGTGATAAGAACAAACCATACTTTTATCTCCTTAATTACATTTAATTCAAGACAAGGATCAACTCCAGCGCCGTCGTCGCCAGGAGATGAGGGGGGGGGAGGACGAGGAGGAGGGGGAGGAGAGGGAGGAGAGGGAGGAGATGGTGGGGAGGAGGAGGGGGGAAGGGGATGGTGGGGTGGGAGGAGGAGGGGGGAGGAGGTGGTGGGGTGGGAGGAGGAGGGGGAAGGAGGTGGTGGGGTGGGGGGGAAGGAAGGTGGGAGGTGGTGAGGTGGGAGGGAGGAGAGGGTAGGGTAGGGGGAGGAGGGGTAGAAGAATTTAGGGGGGTGGAGGAGAGGAGAAGAGAATAAAGAGATGAGAGAGGAAGAGAATAAAGGACGGGGAAGGAGAGGATGGGAGGAGATAGAGGAGACGAGAATAAATAAAAAAAAAAATAGGGGCGAAGAAAAAAGAATAAAAGGAAGAGAGAGAGAGAGAGAGAGAGAGAGAGAGAGAGAGAGAGAGAGAGAGAGAGAGAGAGAGAGAGAGAGAGAGAGAGAGAGAGAACATGGGTAGGCGAAGAAAGGGGGGGAGGGGAGGGGAGAGGAAGAGAAGATCCAAAAAATCTTCCGAAAGGAGAAGAAAAACCACCCTTCCGAATCCGGGCATCAAGAAAGTGCTAAAGAAAGGGGTAAAAACAACGAAAATGGAAACGTCAATAAGGACCAATAAATAAAGTCACGTCACACGAAAAACACAAGAATAAAGAGGAATTAGAAGACAATAGTGACGATGGCGGAGGATGAAAATACGAGGGGATAGATAGATAGATAGATAGAGAGAGGGAGAGAGAGAGAGAGAGAGAGAGAGAGAGAGAGAGAGAGAGAGAGAGAGAGAGAGAGAGAGAGAGAGAGAATTAGGTGTGAGATAAAAAACAACAACAAAAAAAAAACAAAGAAAAAACGAAAGAAGGAAAAATTAGAACAAAAACTAAGAAACCAGGAAAAGAGAAAGAAGAAGAAGAAAAAAAGAAAAAGAGAGAGAAATAAATAAATAAATAAATAAATAAAAAACATCAAAACCTACTTATAAACAACAACAAAAAAAAAAATCACCCAGAAAACACCAAAACCAGAAAGAAACACCACAGAACGAAAGAACGAAAGAAGGAACGAAGGAAAACGAGGTGAAGGACAAGGCAAAAAACAGAAGAAGGGAAAAGCTCAAGGACGACACAGCTCCTCGACAGCAAGCCCTCGACAGCAGATCAAAATAACAGCCTCGTTCCCTCGTTAGGGCGGCGCCGTTCCGTCGGTACTGTATTCACGCCCGCGTCCTTCTTAAAACCCGGAGGGAGGGTGGGGGGGGGGGAGAAAAGTGGGTTGGGTTGAGGAGAGGAGAGAGGGGGGAGGGGGAGAAAAGGGGGGAGAGGAGAGAAAAGAGGGGGAGTAGGAAGCAACGATATATATATATATATATGTATATATATACATACACACGCACACGCACACACACACACACACACACACACACAGATAAACAGACAGACAGACCCATATATAAACAGAAAGCCAGCCAGCCAGCCAAACAGCCAGACAGACAGACAGACAGACAGCAAGACCCAAGACAAAGACCCAAACAAAGCCGCGACGCAAAATGGAAAGAAAGAAAGAAGAAAGAAAAAAAGAAAGAAGAAAGAAGAAAGAAAGAAGAAAGAAAGAAAGAAAGAAGAAAGAAAGAAAGAAGAAAGAAAGAAGAAAGAAAGAAAGAAGAAAGAAAGAAGAAAGAAAGAAAGAAGAAACAAAGAAAGAAGAAAGAAAGAAGAAAGAAAAAAGAAGAAAGAAAGAAGAAAGAAAGAAAGAAGAAAGAAGAAAGAAAGAAGAAAGAAAGAAAGAAGAAAGAAGAAAGAAAGAAGAAGAGAAAGAAAGAAGGAAAGAAAAGAAGAAAGAAAGAAGAAAGAAAGAAGAAAGAAAGAAAGAAGAAAGAAAGAAAGAAGAAAGAAAGAAAGAAGAAAGAAAGAAAGAAGAAAGAAAGAAAGAAGAAAGAAAGAAAGAAGAAAGAAAGAAAGAAGAAAGAAAGAAAGAAAGAAAGAAAGAAAGAAGAAAGAAAGAAAGAAGAAAGAAAGAAAGAAGAAGAAAGAGAAAGAAAGAGAAAGAAAGAAAGAAGAAAGAAAGAAAGAAGAAAGAAAGAAAGAAGAAAGAAAGAAGAAAGAAAAGAAGAAAGAAAGAAGAAAGAAA